TCTCTTTCTGCACATCTGCCACACTCTTCTTTCTCTGAAGGTTGATTTTCTTGGGGTTGCTGATTGAGATTCTCAGAGGAGGGGATGGGTTGGGCGGATGCCCCAACGTAATAGACTACACAAAGGTTTCATAGTTTTATTCTAAAAGTTTTGCACATCTCTGTTTCAATTTATGCCTAAATAGTTTGCGTTTTTTGCTTCTGTTTCTGTGAGATCTGTTATTTTCACTGCTTTGGGGTCTTCATTAGTTTTCCATGTTGCTGTTTCCATCTCCTGCTGTTCATGCTGTCTTCCTTCGGGCAGGTGCAGTAGAATCAATGAGTCAGCCACTTGAGAGAATGCCAGGTCGCCTTGGTTGGCATTCTGTCACAAGCCCTTCCCACACTCACAGTCTGGCTTACTCCCACCACCTTGGCAGAGTCCGGATTTCGTGGATTTAACTTTCCAAGAAGAACCTGTTTTCTGTACTTAAGGAAGAAGGGAAACTCACTGTGACCCTCACAATCCACAATTTTAAGGAAGAATCTTTCTCTCTATGTTAACATTTAAAAATGATAATTATAAGCAATAATTTTAGCTGACAAAATGAGCATCACGCACTCCCTGTGTGAACGAGGCACTCTCTCGTGCATCAGCTCATCAAATCTGCACGACAGCCTGCAGCGTAGATGCTGCTATTATTCCCACTTTACAGATGAAGAAACTGAGGTTTGGAGATGAATAACAAGCCCAAGGTCACATAACTAGCATGTGGCAGAGCTTGAACTCAAACATCCTATCTGGCTGCTGCATCAAACATCAAAGCCTATGTTTATTATCATCCATTAGATTCCCCTGGAACATCGAAGACAAAGGCAGTAGTTCCTAAGGATTAAGGCAGCTTCAGACAGATGAAAACCTTTTCCTTCACTTACTAGCCTATCAGGAGATCCGGGAGGCTGAAAGACAGTATTCTTTGGTTCCAGTACATATAGGGGAGGGGGACCATGAGCTAAAATAGGCCAACGACAGTGGTTGCAGACCCAGAGATTATTTTTTCCTCTAAAGCTACCCAAGGATGGTTTAAGAGCCGGCCTTCCCCAGACTCACCTCTCTGTGACTCTCTGCAGTGGCGGTGACCCTGGACCCAGACACAGCGCATCCTAAACTCATCCTGTCTGATGACCGGAGATGTGTGAAGCTTGGAGACAGGAGGCAACCTGTGCCCGAGAGCCCCCAGAGATTTGATTTTGTCGTCAGCGTCCTAGGCTCCGAGTACTTCACGGCTGGCTGTCACTACTGGGAGGTATACGTGGGAGACAAGACCAAGTGGATCCTGGGGGTGTGTAGTGAGTCAGTGAGCAGGAAGGGGAAGGTGACTGCCTCGCCTGCCAATGGACACTGGCTTGTGCGACAGAGTCGCAGGAATGAGTACGAAGCTCTCACATCCCCGCAGACCTCCTTCCGCCTGAAAGAGCCCCCAAGGTGTGTGGGGGTTTTCCTGGACTACGAAGCAGGAGTCATCTCCTTCTACAATGTGACTGACAAATCCCACATCTTTACTTTCACTCACACTTTCTCTGGCCCCCTTCATCCTTTCTTTGAACCTTGTCTTCATGATGAAGGGAAAAACACGGCACCTCTAATCATCTGTTCAGAACTCCAGGAATTGGAGGAATCAACTGTCCCCAAGCCAGAAGAGAAAGGTCACGCCAATGGAGATGTGGCCCTGAGGGTGGACCCTTCCTTACTGCCCCCTCAGACACCGGAGCTTTTGCCACTCAGGGATCTGATCCTGCCCTGGCCTTCTGACCTTGGCCCAGCCCTCCAGGGGCTCAATGCTCCTTCTTTTTAGGGATGTGCCCCATTACTCGCTCCCCTGACCGTCTAGCCCAGTGCCCTGGATTTCAGTCTCCTGGCCCAACACGTGATTCTGGAACATCTCATCTCCTTTCCCCAAATCCAGACCTTTTTGTGGTTTTTATTTGTACTACCTTTCTCTGGGGCTCAGCTCTGAGCCCTTCCCTCTTTCTGGGGACGTGAGATTCTTGTTGCCTTGGAAGAAGAATTCTTGAAAGCCAACTGAATGATCAGATTAGGTTTAGGTGGTGATGTTGAATGTGCGTGGCTGAGACCCAGGGTTCTCTACCTGAGGGGATGTTTAGAAGAACTTCATCCTGCATCATCCTGCATCCAAGCTTTTAGTCATGAAGTTATGGTGCCCAATCCCTGACTTCTTACTTGTCCCATCAAGAACTGCTTTTCTCCTGTTCTCTCTCTCAGTTCAGGCCTCTAGCCCTCAAAGCCAGTTTTTTTTTTTTTTTAAAGTAAACGTGTTTTGGATCACATACTCTTCCTTCTTTCTGGAATATGAGACGAGGGTGGTGGGGAGAGAGGGGTAAAACATGCTGTCTTTTTCCATTTCCTTGACGCTGTTTACAACATAGTGTGGTGACATCCAGAGTACCTGCTTTCAGGTACATGCTTTCAAAGCTGATTTGTCTACTGATGATAACCAGGTACAGGGACTTGAAACGTGGTAGCTGTAATCCTGAAAAGCCTCAGGAGCACAATCAGGGGGCTGGGAAGCAGTTTCAAACAGAGCAGCCCAGCTGTGTGTGGCCTTGAAAAGATAGTGGCAGATGAGTGAGTCTGGCGCTGGCCCTTTTTTTTTTGTGAGGAAGATCAGCCCTAAGCTAACATCCATGCCAATCCTCCTCTTTTTTTTTTGCTGAGGAAGGCTGGCCCTGAGTTAACATCCATGTCGATCTTCCTCCGCTTTATGTGGGATGCTGCCACAGCATGGCCTGAGAAGCGGTGTGTCAGTGTGCACCCAGGATCCGAACCCCGGGCTGCCAGCAGAGGAGCGCGCGCACTTAACCGCTACGCCACGAGGCTGGCCCCTGGCGCTGCCCCATTTGAATTCCCTTCCGGGATTCAGAAAGGCCCAGCTGGAAAAAGTGGCAATTTTAACCACTGATGTAGAAGCTTTTTTTCCACAAGACATTACATTGGAAGACTTGACTGTGTAGCACACAGCCTCTTAGGTCAAAGAGTACTGATTTCAAATAGGAAGTTGGTAGACCAGGTGTGAAGATAAAATAATGAACCCGATTTTTCCATGTGGATTGCAGAAAGAAGCCGCTTTCAAGTCGCACTATATATGTGATCTGGCCCCTTTGTGGAGATGTTTGCTATCAGTTTGCAGATGGGTACACGGTTCTACCCAACAGCATATATTTGGAGAGAGAGCGAGAGAGAGAGAGAGGTCTTTATTATAAGGAATTGGTTCATGCAGTTATGGAGTCTGGCAGGTCCCAAGATCTCTGCTCCAGTGAACTGGAGATCCAAGGGAGCCAATGGTATAGTTCCTGTCTGAGACTGAAGGCCCAAGATCCAGGAGAGCCTACGCTGTAGGTCCCATTGGAAGGCTGACAGGCTCAAGACCCAGGAAGAACCAATATTTCAGTTTGAGTCTAAAGGTAGGAAAAAAGTTGATGTCTCAGTCTGAAGGCTGTCAGGCAGGAAGAATTCTCTCTTACTAGGGGGAGGGTCAGCTTTTGGTTCTATTCAGGCCTTCAACTCATTGGATGAGGCCCACCCATGTTAGGGAAGGCACTCTGCTTTACTCAGTCTAGTGATTTAAATGTTAATCTCATCCAAAAACACCCTTACAGAAACACCCAGAATAATGTTTGATCAAATATCTGGGCACCTTGTAACCCATGCAAGTTGACATATAAAACTAGCCCTCAGAGCCTGAGTGGAATTTCTTGTTTGCTTTTGTACAGTTCTTTAAATAAAAGTTTGGTATTCCTTGTTTGGCATGCTGTTATTTTCATCATGAATGAGAAATTGTTGGGGGAAGGCTTTGGGCTGGTAAGAGAAAAACACATTATGGGATTGGTTTCCAAACAGCCTTAAATCCACCCAAGCAAGCTGTAACCACAGTTAAAAATAAAGCCACAGTTTTATTTCGAGTCTGCCGTCTCAGTATTTTATTTATATCCATTTATAAACTAATAGTATATGTGGGGTATTTACATTTCATTCATCCGTATTCAGTTTCAAACATACTTTCCTGAATAACTCAATCTTACAACTAACTCACATTATTCACACTGGCTGCACCCAAGAGAACTTAGCAGCAGGAAAGAGAACTGACATTTGTGGAGGGAGAAGCTTTATATGTGTTAAACTCATTTAATCCTTACAACAGTTCTGCCAGAGATTTTACAGGGGAGGAAAATGGTGCTCCTGGGTGGTAGAACTGGGACTATAAATCTGGTTTATCTACCTCTGAAGACAATACGCTGCTCTTTGCACTGAAATACCATGCATATATGAGAAGCCTGAAGAATTTTAGCCTACATATTCAATTAGACTTTTTTTTTTTTTTTTAAAGTAAAACCTGAAAAAAAATCCTAATCCTGGGTATACCTTAGTGGTGGTGGTGTGTCTGGATTGATGAACGACAGTCAGGTTTAACTATGTAGGACTCGGAAAAATCCCTGCACTGGGGTGTTGGGAGACCCAGAGGCGGTCCTTGGACAGCCAACATTTAGTTTCTCTGACAAGCGGACTGGGTTAGTTATCTTCCAGTTCTACAATCCTTTAAGTTACGAACCTTGAGTGAGGTGCGGGACTCTAGGCTTCACGGGATGTCTACACGACCGACAAGGGTCGCCAAGTCAAAGTAAAGAAATACTCTGAGTCCATGACCCCTTGGAGGTCATGTAGGTTATCTCTACCTATTCTACAACTTCCCAGACCGGCGGCCCTGCAAGTCGGCCTTTAACGTCTGAGCCTAGAGCAAAGCTCGACCACTCAGTAAGGTAACCAGTCTCCACTCCTCAGCTATAAACTTCGCTAATTTTCTCGGGACTACAACTACCAGCAGGCCACGCCCGAGGCCAAAGCTTATTGGCGGTTCCGCCTGGGTTTCTTGCGTTGTGGCAGATAGTAAAGCCAATGGGAAGGAGGAGTCGTCCTCAGGGACCAATCCTGAAGAGGGAGGGCGGATCCTCTCTGGGTTCCGGCTCCGGCTCCTCCCCCGGCCCAGGGAGGCGGTGCTGTCCGTGACCGAGCGGCGCGAGCCAGGTGGGTGCCGGCTGGGCCCGGGGTCGCGGCGGGAGGCGGACACGGCTTCGCGGGGAGCTCTGACCGGGGCCTCTTCCTTTTCACCGTGGAGTTGGCGCTGTTGCTTTGCTCCCCGGACCCGGGGGGGAGCCAGTGGGGCCCTGTGGTCTCTCCACCCGGACCGTCGTCCTCCTCCCCCGGCCGGCGCGGCCAGGCTGCTGGCCCCAGCCCCTACCCTCGGGCCCTTCTCCTGCCGGCCTTTGAGTACTCCAGCCCCTCTGCCACTGACCATGCCTTTTGGGTCAGCCCCTCCTCCTCTCCCACTTCTGCAGCTCCAAGCCTGCCGGCAACTCTGGACCCAGCTGCTCTCTTAGAACGGCTGTACCCTCGGACTCCGCCGGCGGCTTCTCCCCGCCGTGCTACACACAGCCCAGCCTCTTGGGTCCCGGTCCTCTAACACCTCTGATTGCAGCCTTTGCCCCCGTCCCCTGACCACCTCCTCGGACACTCGAACTCCTTTGGTCCTCTTCTGTTTCTGACCCGTTATCCAGCTGCCTTGTACAAATCCCTCTTCTTCAACGCCTTGCCCCTGGTCTTTCCAAGGTACTCCCTCCCTTCCTTCCTCCAGCCCTTGACTTGACCCTAGAGGCTCCGAACTTTGGCCCTTCAGACCACTTTCCAGCTTGGCCCCTTCCCTCTAACCCAGACCCTTGGCCTTCAGCATCTGTGATCACCAGCCCGGGTCTTGGCTCTTACTTCTTAGACCTGGCCCCTTCTCCACTGCCTCAGTCCCTTCCACTCTTGGTCTTCTGTATCTCTGGGCCTCCTGGGACGGCAAGCCCCATGGGCCCCTTTCTCCCCCAAATCTCTGAAATGTGATGTGCAAGTACCTCTGTACTTCACCTGCCGCTCTCTTCTCAGTAGATAGTAGACTCCCCATCTCTGCAAGTCTGGATCTTGCTCACCCATCCTGCAAGTCTAGCTCAAATACCACCTTTTCAGTGAAGCCGCTCATCCCTGATCTCTTCAGGGAGATATGCTTGTGTCATCTGAACTCCCGGGACACTGTTTTTATTTATTTCCTTCCTTCTTTCCTTCCTCCCCTACCTTCTTCCCTCTCTCCCTCCCTCCCTTCCTCCCTTCTTCTCTCCCTCCAATACTAGTGTCCTGCTTTAAATCACTGGCTTTGGAGCTATGGGCATAGGTCCCAGTTCTGCCACTCACTTGCTGTGTGCCTTTGGGCAAGTTACAATTTCTCTGAGCCTCAGTTTCCTCATCTTTAAAATAAGTTGTGAGAATGAAGTGAGATGATTTGTATATAGTGCTTAGACCAGGGCCTAGCACTTGGTATGAGCTTACAAGATGTTAACTATTATTATTATTGGTTCCTGTGTAATGTGCCAGGTGCTGTGCGAGGCACTGAGAGGTGGGTACAAAGGTGATTAAGGCACAGTCCTTGCCCCCCTGGACTTAACCTTCTACACTGTATGGCAGTTTCTGAAGTTCATGGCCTGTTGCACTGCATAGTACCATAAACCATTTGAGGGTAATAACCCCAGTCCTAAATCTTTTTGCTTTTATTTTGACCCAGCATTCAGCCCTGGGTAGAGTCAGAGCTTTGTGAAGTATAGGTTCTCAGAATAGCAGGACTGGAAGTGAGTGGAGGCTGTGTAGCTCACTGCATAGAGAGAGATTCTGGAGCTCTTGGTGGGGTGGGCAGGGGCGGGGAGTGAATTAAGACCATATCCATTCACTCATACATTCAAAAGACATTTGAGCACTGGGCCTTGTGCTGGGGAGAGATTACCAAAATGACCCAGTCTTTGCTCTCAAGTTGTTTATAAACTACTAGTAGAAACAAACGTGTAAACAGATAATTGCAGATCACTGTAAAAGCAAGTGCAAGATTCTGTGGGGCATAAAGGAGGAAGTGGGCAGGAATCAAGAGATTGCTGAGGAATAATGGGTAAGAATAGATACAAGTAAGCATGAAATGGGTTCTGGAGACAGGCCTGGCCTCCATTTATTCAACTCATTCAACAGATATTCATAAAGATCTACCTGTATGATTGCCACTACTCCAGCAGTTTGGGTTACATTAGTGAATAAAACAAAGACCCTGGCCCTCATGGGACTTATGTTTTAGCAGGGGGAGACAGACAATGAAAAATAGATGTAATAAATAAACAGAATGTTAGAAGGTGAGAAGTGTTGTGGGCCTGGGGGCTGGGAGTGTGGGAAAGGTTGTAGTTTTTAAAAGGATGGTCAGAAAACAGTGAATAAGTATCAAGGAATAAATTGTTTCTGATGTTTACTTGCATATTTGAAAGTGAAGCAAGCCTATTTTTCACATTGCTTATTCTAGATTCTTCAGGAAACACTTTCTAACAGGGATTGGTAAACTATAGCTTGCCTCCTTTTGTTTTAAATGAAGTTTTGTCGGAACACAGCCATGCTCATTCATATTGTCTGTGTCTGCTTTTACGATACAATGGCAGAGGGCAGAGTTGAGCAGCTGCAACAGGGATCCTGTGGCCCCAAATATTTACTAAATATTTACTATTTGGCCCTTTACAGAAAAAGTTTGCTGACCCCTACTCCTTAAAGATTTGAGACTCTGTCTATATTTCACATTTTAGATTATATACAGTCTTGTACTATGGTTTAATTAAAACTTCTTTTTCTTTCCTAACAAGATCACATAAGGGATCTATTTTGTTCTTGTATGCTCCACAGGGCTAGGACATAGTGTCTTCAACAACTGTAATAGCAGCCATCATTTGCTGAATGACTAGTATGTGCCACACATTATACTGAGCATATTAGAGGCATTTTCTCAAACACAAAGTCCTGCAGTGTTGGTAGGTATCGCAGTTTTAGCGATGTGGGAGTTGAGGCTCAGAGTGGTTGAATAATTTGCAGAGTTATAGACATAGTGTGTGTCCCACTGGGATCCAACCGTAAATGTCGTCAATGCCCCTTCCATTACTCTGTGTTGCTCTTGGCCAAAAATACTTGCTGACTTGAAGGAATGATCCATCTTTCATTTTCTATCATCAATGTTCTATCATAGTCTGTACTTCCCTCCCTCATCCCTTTGTTCACGTCACTCTGTACGGTATCTCCACCAGCTCACTCTGCCTTTTGAAATGTTATTATTTCTTCAAGGTGCAGAGGAAACACCACACTTCTCTTATCGGAAGTACTTCTTTCCCTCATTGCCTGTCCTTGGTATAGGGACTCAAAGGAGTCTGTGCAGCTTAGCAAGCATTGACTAACGTTTGTATAAGTAGGCCCAGTGCTGGGCGCTGTCTGTGTGTGTGTGTAGCTGTGTGTGTGTGTGGAAGTGTGTGGTTTGTGTATCTGTGTCTGTGTGTGTCTTTGTATGTGGCATGTGAGTGTGTGGCTGTGTGAGATTGTGTGTGGTGCGAGAGTATGGCTGTATGTGTGTTATGGTGTGTGATTGTGTAGCCATGTATGTGGCTGTATGTGTGGGAGGACTGTGTATGTGTGTGGCTGTATGTGGCTGTGTGGTGTGAGAGTGTATGTGTGGTGTGAGTATATGTATGGCTTTGTATGTGTGACTGGTGTGTGTGTGTGGTGTGAGAATGTAGCTGTGTGTTTGGTGTGTGACTATGGCTGTGTGTGTAGTGTCAGTATGTGTGTGTGTGCACATGCAGCTGTGTATGGTGTTCAAGAGTGGAAGTGTGTACTGACCAATTGGAACAGACACAGCCCAGGCCCTGTAGTAGGTCTTGGAGGTCCCAGAGGTTAACTCTTTAGTCGTTAGATGATAGTGAGGTCTGGGGACAGGAAGGGTGGCAGAACACTTAAGAGGATTCAAGCTGGGCCTGTAAACAACTCGGAGAACCTCAAGAGTTAGAAGTTCTGTTATGTCCATTTTGAAAGCAGGCAAATAGATGGATACTTTTAAGGAAGGTTTTTCAAAACAGATTAACATAAAAGGAGTTTCAGTTAACCTGCAGTTAGGCAGAAAAACTGAACTCATCCCCAGATGGAAGCTCCTTTACTTGCATATGAATTATAGTCTAGTCTGTCATTGTTTAGTGGTATTAAGAAAAGTTATGTTAATCAAATTGCATGAATATCATCTGTTGGGGGTGCCTTCTTTTTGCTCTGGTGGTTAGTTTTAAATATCTGTGGAAGTTTGTCACTTGAAAGTTAGTAAGTAAAGGCATTCTGTCCAAGTATTCCAGTTAACTCATGGATGGTTCCATGGGGAAGCTTTACACCCCTTCAGCCAGAACAAGAGAGTCCCTGTGGTCTGGCCTGACCCAAGGAATAAAGGTGTTGGCCATTTGTGTTCATTCTCAGGGTTCAGAGATGGGCAGTGAGAAGGAGCAGAATCCAGAGCAGCACCTGCCTGAGGAAGGGGAACGGGGTAAGCCTTGGAGAGTGGATGACTCCGAGGGTTTCCGGATCCCAGATGGGGAGAAAGAACATGGGCAAGAGAGCCTTTCGGAGGAGCCACAAGGGATCCAACCAAAAAAGCCATGGCAGAAAGTCACTGTCCCTGCTGGAGAGCCAGGGGACCCCATTGCTCATCCAAGGCCTGAGGCTGATGAGAAGCCCTTTATCTGTGCCCAGTGTGGCAAAACCTTCAATAATACCTCCAACCTGAGAACACACCAGCGGATCCACACTGGCGAGAAACCTTACAAGTGTTCTGAATGTGGCAAGAGCTTCTCGAGAAGCTCCAACCGCATCCGGCACGAGCGGATCCACCTGGAAGAGAAGCACTACAAATGTCCCAAGTGTCAAGAGAGCTTTCGGCGGCGCTCGGATCTCACCACACACCAGCAGGATCACCTGGGCAAGCGGCCATACCGCTGTGACATCTGTGGCAAGAGCTTCAGCCAGAGCGCCACGCTGGCTGTGCATCACCGGACCCACCTCGAGCCAGCACCCTACATCTGCTGTGAGTGCGGGAAGAGCTTCAGCAACAGCTCCAGCTTTGGCGTGCACCATCGCACCCACACAGGCGAGAGGCCTTACGAGTGTGCCGAATGTGGGCGGACCTTCAGCGATATCTCCAACTTTGGAGCCCACCAGAGGACCCACAGAGGGGAGAAGCCCTACCGGTGCACTCTGTGTGGGAAACACTTCTCCCGGAGCTCAAACCTTATCCGCCACCAGAAAACGCACATGGGAGAGCAGGCGGGGAAAGATTCCAGCTGAAGGAGAGACCCGGGGAGAGAGTGAGGAAGAGAAGTGGGAGACCCCAACCTAGTGTAGGAAGATCTTTAGGATCTGCTGCTGCCCCCTTGACCTCAAGCCCTTCATCTCATTTTGGAGAATGGTTTCCTGTTGCCTCTGAAGCCAGGATCTCCAGGAAGTCCTGAGAAGGGACTCAGAGTAAAAATCTTTGCCTCTTTCCAGGCCAATTTCTTGCCTTGGAAAGTCAGAGGAGCCAGTCTTGGCTTCATCTGGGGGTGACAGAGATAGAGGGTAGGCTTAGTACATGCTCATATCATTAGGGCAACCATCCCCTGGCCTTTGAGGACGTACCTGTGAGGCGGGCATCATTATCTGAAGGTCCTCCAAATTGTATGTGAACTGCTTAGGGCACATTGCAGTGGCCTGTGGGTTCCCATCTGCTGTGCCCTACCTGGGCTGGGAGGAGCAGCCTTCCCAATGGAAGGGGCCTCCTTGGCCTGGAGAAGAGGTCTGAGGTCCTGCCTTAAGAATGAAAAGGAAGCCCTCAGGGAGCCATGATCCAGGGACCTTCATACTCCCCCATGTTTGTGACTTGTTACCCCCACCCCAACCTGCATCTGTTCCCCAAGTGATCAGCAGTAAAACCTTCAATGAAAAGGACCTGTGTACTTATTTGAGGGCATCAAAGAAGTGGGGAGCTGGGGAGATGGTCGCACTGCTTCTCTGGAAGGGAGTTGAATTCTAAGAAAGACAGAATGGGTGGCTGCTCTGAAAAGCACAGGAAAGCAGGCTGAGTCTGGGGCCTTTGAGGAGGAAGGGGAAAGGAAAAGAGGTAACATTAATTGAGCATCCACTATATGCCATAGATTTTTTGGGTCACGTTTACATTCTTGATCTCATTTTGTTGGCACAGCATTCCTCAAGGGAGTAACGTGAGGAAATAAAATTGAGGAAAGGTGAAGTCACTTGCTGTGAAGTCACACAGCAGGTATGTGGTGGAGCCAGAGTTCAAACCTGGGCCTCCCTTGATTCTGAGCTGATGCCCCCTTCACTCCATTTACCTTGTTGGCTTCTGAAGGAGTAGCTGCTTAGAGGTCTGGCCTGGGACCAAGTGATTCCCTGGAACTGGGAGCTAGTATGGGCTCTTGATGTGGCCCTGGACCATGTGCTCTGTGGGAAGCCAAGCATGAGAGCCTTTTCAACTTTAGATTATTGAATCACACTTACTCTGTGCCCAGGAAAAATGAGTGTCAGGGAGTAGAGGGTGACGGGTGGGGTAAGATGAACCCATTAGTAGCAATAGTTTAGTTCCCAAGGCTGGGACCACATGGCAGGGATCATGCCTGGCTTCCTTCCATTCTTTGGGAAAGCCTGACTCCACATGGCAGATTTCAGTGTTTCCTACATGAAAGTTTAGTGCTCACCCAGATTTTCTCCAACAAACACAAAAAATCCTTCTCTACCTCTCTTGCCAATCTGGGGTCCTGCTCTTCCAGAGTGAGGGGCCGCCTTTGTTTGTAGCCAATTGGCAGAATATGATTCTGGCACTAGACTTGGAACTGGCACCGCCCATGATCTGACCCATCACATGGGACCTGCCACCCACCCGTGCCAGGAGCTTTACACTCGTCGTCTTACTGGATGCTCACAACAACCCTGTGAAGTGTGAGTTGTCCACATTTGACAGATGCAGAAACAGGCTGACAACGTATAGAAATCTTGCCCAAGATTACATAGCAAGTAAATGGCAGGGTCAGGAACTGAGCTTCCTTCTGCCCAAACCCAAAGCCTCTATTTTTTCCACCTGTAAAAGAAGACTTCCCAAATGCTTCCCTGACATTTGTAGGACAGTTTACAAAGCACTTTTATTTCATATATATTTCATGCTCCTTGAAAATCCCCATACAAAATATTTTAAACATATAGTCACCCAAACTTGCATGTATGAATTGGCACACTCCCTAGTAACAGAAGTTGCCATCAAACACCTCTTGAGGTAAGTTATTGCACACCTATTATCTCTGATCTCCGTAACTATCCTGTAGGGTAGTAGTATCCGCATTTTCAAGATAAGAAAATTCTGAGAGGTTAAATGACCTGAACTGGGGCTGAGCTGGGATTCGAATCAGGTGTGTCCTATTCCAAACCCAAGCTCTTCATTATACCCATTACCAAGCTAGGCTCTACTGGGCTCAGTCTGGGGAGCTTGGTGTCATTATCCTTCCAGACCTAGAGCCTTTGTGACAATTGCTGTGACTCTTTGGGAGTCTCTGCCACCAGTAAGACCCAGGGGCAGTGTACCAGGCACCTGTTTTGATCTTGGGACATAACTTGCTGGCCAATCTCATTTTCCCTTTTTTGACCAAGTTCGTAGGCTAGGGTTTCTGTGTTGGTCCAGACTAGTGTTTGAGTCCTGATTAGTCCATTTAGTCACTCTCTGACTTCCTTTTTTGTTAACTTTTTTTATTTTCTCCTTCATTCTCTTTTCCCCTTCCCCTTCCTTCCACTCTCCCTCCCTCCCTTCCTCCGTCTCTTCCTCCTAGTTACTAGGAATACTGACAATGGAGAAGATGTGGCTCCTGTGTTCTCTGCAGGAGATTGGCACATAAACACAGAGTTCCAATGCAGGATGATAGGTGTCATTCCAGTTGTACCCAGGGTGCTCTGGGAGCCCAGCGGAGGGCCTTAACTTGGCCTGTAGTAGACACTGGAGCCCAGAAGTAAATAAGACATAGTTCTTCCTGCAAGGGACTCAGAGGAAGAGAAACTCCCCTCTGAACAAGGTGTTGGGGAACACAGGTGGGAGTGGTTAACTCTTCCAAGGGGAGGAGGAGGCTGAGACAATGATTGAATTTGGTCTTGGAGAATGAGTAGGTGTTTATTTTAAAGAAGAGGAAGGTTATTTAAGATGGAAGGGAAGGCTTAATGTTTTAGGGAATGGTGAAACATTTGATGTAGCTAGAGTGTCCTGTGTGAGGAAGAGATGAAGCTGGTAAGGTAGCTGGGGGCCAGATCGTGAAGGGTGTGGGATGCCAGGATAAAGAATTTTGGACTGTGGACAATAGAGAATTTTAAAGCAGAGGAATGGCACGATCACATTTGCCCTTTAGGAAGAACACTCAGGCTAGTGTGAAGGATAAACTAAATGGGGTCAGGTAAGTTGGGAACATACTGCATATATAAGCCAGGTGCCATATAAGCCAGGTGCCTACTGGGGCCCTCCTGCCCCACAGAGAGCTCTGTATGATTGCCTCAGAGCCTTGCCAATTCCACGGAATGGGAAAGTCCAAACCCTCCACACAATTTCTGCAGATTCCTGAGATTTATGCTTTTATGGTCTCCTTTTCCTGAGGTTCCTGTGGTCTCTTCAAGCCTTCTCTGTTTTGTCCCCATTAGTCCTGTCACAGAACTAAAGACCTTCATTGGCTTCCCTGAGAAATTCTGTCACACCAAGCATTTTGTAAGTTTAGACTCTGTTCAAGAGATTGGGAGTCTTGGAGGGGGTCACATCATGGCATGTCACTAGCTTCCTCCCCTCTTTCCTCCCATCTCTGCCCTTATCTCCTCTCTCCCAGATTGTCCTGGAAACTCCAGGTTGTTTTACTCTATTATAAAAAGCTGTTTAAGATGTCATCATCACGGTGGCATGAGAGGATCCCTGTGTCTCTCCCCTTCAACCTACAGTGAATAAAAAACATCCATAACCCAACAAAGGTTACATTGCCCAACACACCAAGACACTGGAAAGATCCACACATCAGTACCTATGAAGGTGGGTGGAGAGGAGCACATAGAGGAGGCTAAATGGGAGCACAGCAGAGGCTGAGCCCAGGACCTTGGACCCCAGGCTGCAGTGGCTGAGCCCGCAGCCCCCAGCCCCAGAGAACATGGTGGGGCAGCAGTGGTGGCATGCGTGTGACTCCAGCCAGCCAGCTGGTGGCACCCGTGGCTATGGGGAGCAGAGCAATAGTGGAGGTGGAGCCCCCTGATCCTGGGCCCCCAGGTGCAGCTCAGAGGCATTCACAGGACACCAACATCCCAACCACAGTGGTGCCCATGGCCCCAAGATAACAGGCAACAGCAGAGGCGGTGCCGCATGAACCCAGCTCCCTCACTCCCCTTCCCCCCACCACAGCAGCAGAGCTTCCAACCAAAGTGATCTTGGATGCAGTGGAGGCATCAGCTATCTCTGAACTCCCATTGGTGAAGCCAGTGACTGCAGCGACACCAGCAACAGCAAGGCATCAGTAATTCCCAGAGGTGCAGGCGGCGATGACGAGAGTACTGGCGATACCCCGAAAAGAGGCAGTGGGGGGCGGACCATGCAGATCCTCAAATATAGCCAGAGGAAGCACAGGTAAAAGAAACCAAAAACTAGCACTATAGCACCACCTACTGAAAAACAAAAGAGAGGCCTCTAATCTCCAACTGATTAAAATGTTTGAATCAAAACAAAGTTATACCTAAATAAGAAGTGTTTGCTATGGCAAATGCACTGGCAGAGGAATAACTCAGCAAGCACCAAGAAAAACATGATAACATGGTATCACGAAAAGAAGATGACAGCGGCCGGCCCCGTGGCATAGCAGTTAAGTGAGCATGCTCCGCTGCTGGCAGCCCAGGTTCAGATCCCAGGCATGCACTGATGCACCACTTGTCAGGCCATGCTGGGGCAGCGTCCCATATAAAGTGGAGGAAGACGGGCATGATGTTAGCCCAGAGCCAGTCTTCCTCAGCAAAAAGAGGAGGATTGGCATGGATGTTAGCTCAGGGCTGATCTTTCTCACAGAAAAAAAAAAAAGAAAAAAAA